GGCGTGATTTTCAACGGCCGCTTTGTCGTGTCCGGTGTACTAGACAGACTTTAGCTGTTGTGGCGGCGCAGACACGGTGGTTTTCACCTATCGAGAAGAAACAAAGCAACCTCTGCGTCCGATCGCAGGCCTTCTGCTCCTTGAGTTCTCTCCAGCGCTGGAAAGCTGATCTGGTGTTTACACGGGTCCTACTTCTTGCCTTATTGCCTTAAGCCTTCTTTTGTTCCACAGACGTTTTCCTCTTTTGTTTTTTATCCACCATCTCTATCTTTCTGTCGATCGGCTCGCTAATGTCCGTCCCATGCACTGAACGCTCTCTTCTCCACATCATTAGTAGACACACCCCTTACTGCTGATTGGCTACAAGTTTGTTTTGCTAGTCGGCCCGAATCAGTTTTCTAAAGCGTTTTTGAAAAATCGCTTACCCCACCTTTAAGGTTTAGATTGGCCTGAAGATTCATTACATGGATCCATCCAGAGGGCAGCTGATGCCTTATTTGCGGCTCTATGTTTAGTGTTGGAGAGGGTGTTAATAGAGTCACACGAGGCTGTGGAATGAGGGAGGACCTGGACAATGCTGAACACTGATAATGCGCTGAGCTGAAAAGCCTTGAAAAGACTAGAAGAATCCAACCTTCCTGTGCCCTTGAAGGAGTCAAACACAGGTTTTATATTCAGGGTCAAAAGATCGGCAGAAGGAGCAAATGGTCTACGAAGGAAAACAAAGTTAGTCCTGCACAGTGAGACTTTTGATATTTTTCATAACGTCTGGTCCTCAGTGTTTATGGTCAGTCTTGTGGCCAGACTTGTAATCTCACCCTTGGAAAGTCTGACCAATATGGCAAGCTCAAATCTGATTTGGCTGACTTCTTGCAACTTTCTCAAAACTCTTGCCACTTCATTATCCATTAGAACAGTGTGATTGAGGCTCTGGAAATGCACTGTAAAAATCAAGAGTTATTGAATTCTAAAATGAATGTATGTTGAACTATCCCCATTAAAATCTGCTTAAAGAGTTATAAAGTCTCCTTCACACCAAGACCATTAACTATATAATGCTGAAGGGATAATTTAATTTTCTACGCCAATCCTGAAGTTAACATCACCCTAGTTTATAGGATTTTTCCATTGACTTTTATATTATTGCAGAAAATAAGCTCTGTGACCGACAACAGTTGGTTGATTCTTGCAAGTTTTGTTAAAGATAATCTTAAAATGAGCACAACTTTTCAAATAAAATTGTCACAAGTGGTATAGTTAGACTGCGTTTCAGAAATGATCTCTGTCCACACTACACAAACGAAAACGCATGTCCCATGACCATTCATAATGAGCATGATGTTATTGTTTACATGGTCGTCAAGGATACACGCATGTGGGCAGCCACGCCATCGTTTTCAAAAGTCTCAGTTTTGGTCCGTTTACACTGAAACACAACCCTGGAGTTTTCAGTCTAAAACAAAAGTTTTCAAAAGTCTCCATTTTCGAGGGTCGAGTGTAGTGTAAATGACAGGCGTAACTGTAGCAAAAATTATGCATTTTAAAACGAAAATGCACTAGTGTAAGCATAGCATCAAATTCTGCAAGTAGAATGTTTGAGTTAAAATAGTTTGCAAGAGTGGAATTTTAAACACGAGGATGTAAAAGCAAACTAGTGAGCTGATGAGTCTTCCTTTTCACTATGATGATATTTAATGTCTCGGACAACCTCTATAGTCCCAGTTAGCAAACACCTTTTTCAAGACACAAGATTTTAAAAATCACAATCAATGTACTACTGATGCATTTTATGCCAGAGACTAAAATGTTAAAACATCCAGACCTTTGACATCCTAACCCTAACCCAAACCCAAACCAAAAGCTCACTCAAATGGAAGTGATAATCTGTTTCTGGGTTTCATGACTCATGAACTACAGTACTACAGTACTCTGTAATGATGTCTATATTAGCATCCATGCCAATGGACAATAATGTTATGCTCATTATACGCTAATTATTCTATAGAGTTCTTTAAAGTTGGTGGTTTCTGATTGGCTGCCAATGTTATTATTGTTCATCAGCTGAAAAAAAGAATCGTTCCTTTGTGTTATCATTATAGTTGTGGCGTTGACTCCAATATTCTCTTAGAATTCGAATGTTTAATAAAAGTTTATAGCTATAGTTCTCATCCTCGGAGTGAACAGACCTTAATGCTCTACTTTGTGTCTTTTTGATGCTCTCACAGTGATAGTGAGCCTTGTGTCTTCTGATGCAGTTGCACCATATTGCATCCCTTCAGTTCAGTAATGGATTGAATACACACTCTTTTTCTGAATAATTTTTGTTCCCTAATTTTTATCAATTTTACTAATAGTCCACTGTATGAAGAATTTTGGTGTATATCACAGTTTACTTTATTTTGCTATCCTCACTTACATAAATGAACTATAGTGTCCTGCACCCACTAGTAAAAAAATATCAAAACATTATATCTGGTGTCTGAATAATTTTTGGTTTGACTGCGTGTATATACGTATATATATAGCATGAAGGCTCATATGTGACCCTGGAACACAGTATTAAAGGGGTCATATGATGCTTTTTTAAAGATCATTATTTTGTATATTTGGTGTAACAGAATATGCTGACATGCTTTAATGTTAAAAAAATATATTTTTCAAATACTGTACATTATTGTAGGTCCTCTATGCCCCGCCTCTCTCAAACGCTTCATTTTCTACAAAGTCCGTCCTTCCGACAAGCGCAGTCTGCTCTGATTGGCCAGCTGACCCAGTGCATTGTGATTGGCCGAACACCGCAAGCACTCGTCGGAAATGTCATGCCCCTTACCATAATCGCGAGCATCAGCTTTCAAAATAAATGTAAAGACAGAGCCCGAAAGGGGAACAGAGTCCGCGCGCACACACACACACACGATGCGCAAAACTCCGCATTTGAACAGTCAATAGCAAATACTTAAACTAATAACAAAACAGTAGCTGATTCAGAAGCGCCACATTGTCATAGCAAAGTCAGAATTACCTCCTCTCCTAGGTTCACAAAACGGTCGTCCATAAAATGCATTGCTGTTCTGTTGTAAGTAATCTTAAAGATGCCTAAATGCATCTACTTTCGGAAGGCCAAATAAAGTGCTTTCGCCTAGAAACACACAGTGTCTCCCTGACATGGCTTCTTCAACACTACTGCGGTTACTGAAACCACGCCATCTTTCTTTGCGTGAACATTTGGGCGGCATTATGCAAATATTTCCACATAGTGAGGTAGATATGTGGGGGCGTGTTAGAACGAGCCGTTTTAGGGGGGCGTGGCAGAG